TTTTCCATTTTCATTTCATGCCAACTTCACAGAAAGGGAGAACAAACCAAATGTTAATATCTGAAATTCATGTTCATTTTTGAATGCACTCAGGTTGTTGAGATGATAATATGATCTGTAATTTAAAACAAAGCAAAATAGAAGTATTTTTAGTGTTGGGTTTTTGGACTAATATACTAACCTTTCCTGCTGAATAGAAAACTGGAGGAAGCTGGTCCCTCATACTGAAGGCCAGGACAAAGCCAAGTAAAAACTGCAGCTCCTCTCTCATTGCCCTTTACTGTTATTCCTCTCTAGTTTCCTTCTCACATGTAAGGCAATTGTTTATAACTTGCAGAAAGGGCGAAAGGGAAAGTTACAAAACTACAGCTACCAAAGTATTTATTCATCTGAATGCAGGAAGAAGACAGGGAAGCACTTTTGGTTTCACTTATGATGACTGGCTGATGAGATAATGCATTAGAAGCAAATGTGAGGGGTGCTGGCTCATATAAAAAAAATTCTGACACAAAAAAAGAAGTTTTGGGTGGTTGCTAAGGTGTTCTGGGTGGTAGCTTACCATCCAATAAGATAAGCCCATCACAGAGTCTTTATAATATTATGGTCTCTAGCAATAAATCAGGTTTAATGTATGCCTATGTTTTTTCTTCTTTCTCTCTCTACACGTTTTATCTGCCAAGCAAACTTTGTAATTCTGATTGCTTATATAGCACATTTTTCTTCAGTCAGCATGATTAGAGGTAGTATTCATACTTGTAAGACAAAAATACTAAAGGTTGGGGGTTTATTAAAATCCATTAATGAGCAACAGTGATGCTTGACTTAACAAACACCTCTAAAAACAGCGATAAATGATTCATTTACATGCAAAAATAAAATTCCCAAAACAAAGATCATCAGTAGAGATCAGAGAATCTGTGATTGCTTCTAAGAAAAGTATTTCAGGAACAAACCAAATGCAGGTATCAGGATGTCACTTTCTTTCCGTTCTTCCACCCATTCTTGCACCCTTTCTTTCTCACTTTCTTTTCACTGATTTATAGTGTACTTACAATATGCTTAAACCAAACCACTATACCCCCAACAAACCCCATACTGCTGGTCTTGAACCCTGCAGAGCACATTCCTCACACGCGCACATGTGTGCACACACAATCTCACAAAACAGGAAGTGAAAACATTAAGCAGGAAATACTTCTATTGCATTATTAGATATGAATAAGCCCCAAAATTTGTCAAAATGGTGTAAAATGCAGGGAGAAGTACATATATATAGGGAGAACAAACCAAATGTTAATATCTGAAATTCATGTTCATTTTTGAATGCACTCAGGTTGTTGAGATGATAATATGATCTGTAATTTAAAACAAAGCAAAATAGAAGTATTTTTAGTGTTGGGTTTTTGGACTAATATACTAACCTTTCCTGCTGAATAGAAAACTGGAGGAAGCTGGTCCCTCATACTGAAGGCCAGGACAAAGCCAAGTAAAAACTGCAGCTCCTCTCTCATTGCCCTTTACTGTTATTCCTCTCTAGTTTCCTTCTCACATGTAAGGCAATTGTTTATAACTTGCAGAAAGGGCGAAAGGGAAAGTTACAAAACTACAGCTACCAAAGTATTTATTCATCTGAATGCAGGAAGAAGACAGGGAAGCACTTTTGGTTTCACTTATGATGACTGGCTGATGAGATAATGCATTAGAAGCAAATGTGAGGGGTGCTGGCTCATATAAAAAAAATTCTGACACAAAAAAAGAAGTTTTGGGTGGTTGCTAAGGTGTTCTGGGTGGTAGCTTACCATCCAATAAGATAAGCCCATCACAGAGTCTTTATAATATTATGGTCTCTAGCAATAAATCAGGTTTAATGTATGCCTATGTTTTTTCTTCTTTCTCTCTCTACACGTTTTATCTGCCAAGCAAACTTTGTAATTCTGATTGCTTATATAGCACATTTTTCTTCAGTCAGCATGATTAGAGGTAGTATTCATACTTGTAAGACAAAAATACTAAAGGTTGGGGGTTTATTAAAATCCATTAATGAGCAACAGTGATGCTTGACTTAACAAACACCTCTAAAAACAGCGATAAATGATTCATTTACATGCAAAAATAAAATTCCCAAAACAAAGATCATCAGTAGAGATCAGAGAATCTGTGATTGCTTCTAAGAAAAGTATTTCAGGAACAAACCAAATGCAGGTATCAGGATGTCACTTTCTTTCCGTTCTTCCACCCATTCTTGCACCCTTTCTTTCTCACTTTCTTTTCACTGATTTATAGTGTACTTACAATATGCTTAAACCAAACCACTATACCCCCAACAAACCCCATACTGCTGGTCTTGAACCCTGCAGAGCACATTCCTCACACGCGCACATGTGTGCACACACAATCTCACAAAACAGGAAGTGAAAACATTAAGCAGGAAATACTTCTATTGCATTATTAGATATGAATAAGCCCCAAAATTTGTCAAAATGGTGTAAAATGCAGGGAGAAGTACATATATATATATATATATATATATATATATATATATATAATTTTTTTTTAAATGGTCCATGGCTGACTGATTGTCACACTTGGTTGTGCGAGCCTGCTTTGCAAAGACAATACATCTGTACAGCTCAGAGATACAAAGGATGAAAGAGAAACATGTCATGTAGAGAGAAGTGAAAAAGATAAAAAGGAATAGAGAGTAAGGGTTTCACATAAATACTCGTGGTTAAGGGCCACCTTTATTACTTTTTGTGGTTTTCATATTGGGGTGAATTATGTGTAATATGTTGAGATTCTGAGTACTCAGAAGGTTTTGTGACACCCATTTTCCCCATGTTTCCCTAATTCTTGTGTCAGTATGTAATGTTTTGTAAATCCATAATCATGAAGCTTCAAGGCTTATAATGTGAAGTCGACAAGGTCCAAATTTTGCATTTAATATAAATGTCCACATCTCTCACATCATTTACATACATTTTTGAGTTGACACTGGATAAGTTTTAATTTTGAACCCTGGTAAAAAAAAAATCATAAAAATAAACTCAGACACTATCCAAAAACTTTTTGTTTCTGCCAATTTTAAGTGAAAAACCCCTACAGAAGAGGCCTGTGCTTGACTGTAAAAAACAGTCTAAAGTAAGAAGGTGTGGTCCTGGTCCTGACTGTGCTCTGTGAGAAAATGGGTCGGCGTGCCCACCTGGGACAGGAGTATTGTTTCCTTTCTCTACACCGAGAAAGCCAGAACTGGAATCTTTCTTTGGAGGAGGCTCATACAGAAGCTGCGAGACAGCCAGCATCACATTTCTTTCTTTTTTAACTTTTGAAAACAGCTACTAACAGTCGAGTCAATCATTATGTAGTGATAATCATGTAGCTGACAATATTTTTTTCTCCAAAAACAAGCAAACAATTCAGACACTGATATAATTACCGTATGCATCTGAAATTTGACACTGGGATGGTCTTGGGATGTTGCATAAACATCTTTGTAACAAATTACACATCTACAATTTTGTCAGTTTTGTGGATTCTGGAATGTTATGGTGATACAGTACACCTAATGGTTTGTTTGTCATGTTTGATTTATGTGCTCGTAATCAGTTGAACTCACTGTCAAACAAAAGTCAACACAAATATTTGCTTCACTGGAGATTTCCTGGAGATTTTTTGCTATTGAGTTAGCATTTGTGTTCTTAGGCTGACAAAGTAGAAATGAGTAACCTTTTCTGTTATGTTTATGCTCAACATCCCTCTCCACAAAACATTAAAGTTTATATTGCATCCATTACAGAACATCATTTGTTCATCAGAGTGCACTGTGCGTATAAAATAATGAATTGTATAGTACATGAAATTGATCACTTAGTTTGCTGTTTAATTTAAAGTCGGATGTTAGATTTTCCTAGTTGTTATGTTTCCAACCCTAAAGCATGTTAAGGAAAGAAAATGGCAATGTTAAACATTAGCTTAGCAATTTTTCAAATGTCAATAAAGAAGTCTGCAGAGGATAAAAGATGTTGATTGTGTATGATTATCCACAATGGTGACAAATCAGCTAAAAAGATCAATATGAACACAAGTTAATGTATGAGCAATATAGCTAATCACTGAAGCTTGTCAACTCTGGATGACACAATTTAATCTATTTCCAGTCTTTCTTTGAGTATTGACATTAATGCTTGTCTTGTCAGTGCTAGCATTGCAGCTATTAATGTTTACATATAGTCAACAAAGCATATAGTCAAATGTTTACATATAGTCAACAAGTTGAAAGCACCCTTATGTAGCAAAGCAACTACTCATTTGCATTTCTCCTGAAAGAACAAATATCGAGGCTAGCATTGAGGCCACTCTCACCTGTGAGAGGTAACATTTAGCAGCTTCAGCAGTATTCATATGTCCCACTTGAGACCCTCTTGCATTCAATGCATCCTCGTGGGACAGACAACATTCAGGCCTTCCTGTTCTTTTCTAAGTCAGACAAATTCATCCCCACTGTCTGTGCACAAACAGGCACATTCATCTGGATGTCCATTGACAGAGCAAAGGGGGCAAGTGCTAATGCCAGAACAGGCTCAGGGGAGTGTTAGTCTGGACGGCCCATCTCCATCCACACCCCATGTGCTTTCACCATCAGGTAACTGGAGAGGGTGAATCTAGGCCAGCCTGGCACATTGCCGAAGTTAGGGGTGGGGGGATCAAGGGGTACAGGTCCTGGGGCCTCATTTATAAAACGTGCGTACGCACAGATTTGATCGTAGAGTGTGCGTACGCAAAAATCCACGGCAACGTTCATATTTATAAAAACGGTCTTTGACGTTGAAAAGAGCTTAGCGCCACGTCAGGCTCTGAGCAGACGTACGCACAATTGTTTGCCCGAGTGCTGCAGGTTTTTGGAAATGTAAGCCATTCTTGCCGCTTGTAAAAGATTTGGACATTGTCAGGTGCTCTTTTATAAGTCAAGGACATTAATTAGACATTGTTTACAGGGACGGAGATCTGAAACTGTTCAGCTGCGCACAATTTCAAGATCATTGCAATTTATAGATTTCACACCTAAAAGAGAGGCGTACGCACGTTTTCTGTGCGGACGTTCGTTCTATGAATCACACGTACGCACTTTGAGAAATGATCGTAAAATCAAATTTAGGATTCTTTCTACGCAGTATTTTATAAATGAGGCCCCTGGTGTCTGTCCCCAAGAGAGTTTAGTGGGACCAGCTTGAAAAGGGAAAGCAATTTTCAGAGACCCTTCTTTCAGCAATTCAAAAGGTGGGGATGAAAGCTTTTCTTTAAAGAACTGTTTCTTGGAGTAGGATAATTTGTCAAGGAAGATCGATTTGGATTATTGCTGTGTAAGTTCATGGATAACTGACAAAATGGGCTTGCCTTAGAACTTAGAAGCCTTCTAGCCATCCCTCATTTAAGCCATCTTTGGCTCTTAAGCCATGCAGAAGAGCAAGGCAGGACAGGTAAAAAACCTCTCCAGACAAAACACATCCCGTTGTTTTTCCACACTTCTGCTTTTGTTGTGTCTAGTATCTGTGCTGTTCTCAAGACCCCCTATGTCTTGAGTAGCAGCACCACTACAGAATTCATACTTGCAATCTAAGCATTCAGCTTCCAAAAACAAACAAACAAACAAAAAACCTAAAAACAGTTAAAAAAAGTTCTCATCTAACTCACAGACCTTTACTTTAATGAGCCTGACCTTCAATGGCCCCACCAATAAACATTGCAGTTGCTTAATAATGGAGCACTTTTACAAAAAAGGTTTCCAGATGGAAGCCTTCACTCTTGGCTTTCAGCATGGCGACATTCATGGCTGCATCTTCCTCCAGAGCAAGAGCATGGTTATGACTCTTACATACTCTAGGGCCATGTGCATATGCTTGCTGGGCTGGCAGACGCCAGTCTCTGTGAGATTAGAGCACTAATCAGTGATGCTGAGGGTGCTGGAAAGGTTCTATCTCACAGGGAAATCACTATGAAAACCTGTCTGCTCTCTCATTCGCTCAGTGGGATGTTGCAACTCCAGCATCTAGTGGGCCTTATCTCCACAAAGCAGATTGCAGAATTTGATATGCATCTGTGAAATGGTCGGAAATGACAGTCTCCGAAAAAACTACATGATGAGTCAAATGGTGTGTCTCAACATCACCTCTCTTTTTCTTTTTCTTGCTCATCCTTTCACTCTCTCTTTCTCATTCTGATCACATTCAACATCTAATCTTTGATTCAGGAGAGAAATATAGACCAAGCAGATAATTTTCCCCAGTAAAGGAGTGTGCACAAATGAAGGCAATTACAGACTCTCGGTAGATGCACACACAGTGTATGTCCATCGGTACATGTGTTTGTGCATTCAAATTACTTGTAGAGCACATGAAGATTGGCATCAGTTAGATGCCATCTTTTTCTCCAACATGAACATGGTCACTGATAAGAGTTTGTCCTCGTCAGCACGACACACTAGCAGCACCACAGGGCTTTATCGCAGGTTGGGAGTGTGTTATAAGGTGTTCTTGGGCCTCTATCAAAGTACTATCTGAAATGATAAGCAATCGGAGGGTTGGGGTTATGATTCGAAGTGTGCATTTGGGTGTCTGTAAGCGTGATAGTGTCTCAACCACGAAATACCTAAAACTGCACATTTATACATGCATGTTAGGTGATACTCTCCTTAACGTATACCGGCCATTTGTGAGTTTATAGCCCAGGAAAATAATAGTCACCCATGCACCACCTTTAGACCACCCTGAGAAAGCATATCAAAGTGCTCAGAGCCGAGATGAAAGGTAACACACTGAGGTCATTAGAATATTAGTCCATCATGTAGGAAGGGCAGCGTAGAAAGAGGGATGCTCTGGCAGTTTTAATTTGCTCTGCAGCATGCTCTATAAAAGGAAAAAAACTGTACACAACAATGGAGGGAGATAGGCTCTCCAAACAAGGCAAAACGAAGATCATTTTACTACTCCCACTGCACAAGCTCCCGGAGCCACGAGCAAAGCTGCCCCAGGGTCAACTCCCAACTACCCCTATTTCAGCCATGACATCACAGGCCACAGAGGTTGCTGAGGAGCGTGCATAATGCCATGGGTTGCACAGTGGATATGCAGCTAGAGGTCAACTATGGAAAGAGAGAGGGAGAGAGACAGACAGACAGACAGAACTGCAAAGAAAAAGTAGAGGGCCTTTTGATTAGTTTCCTTGGCAGGAGAACAAAACTGTAAGGAATGTAGGCAAGAGGGGAGAGAGAAGTGACCGAGAGAAGAGAGGGACATAGAGAAAGAGAAGAACAGTGGAGACTACAGGACTTGCTGAGTAAGACTGGTCTCTTGTTGATTAATTTCCTCTTGAGCTAGTTCTGTATAAAAGTGTTCATTTACACAATGAGAGCACATACTGGTCAACTGTTCCTACCCCATGGCCACTATAGAAAACCTTCAATAAATCCCTGGTTCATTGAAGCTGACTAGTAGCCCATGTTTCATGATTCAACATTAATGTAATTCTAAGGTAAGGTAGACATATTTGGTAAGGTACACAAAGCTGACTGCATTAAGAGATGTTCAAGCTGCCAAAGATTTTGAGTGTCAAATTCGAGCAACTGGAAGGCATTCCTTTGTTGAACTGTTGAGGTGACATGAGCAACTAAGACCACTGCTGATGGAACTCTTTTAAAAAGAGTGATGTGACTACTACCAATGAGACATAGCAAAGTTCATGTGATATGCTGCCTAATACAGTTGGGCACAACAGGAATGCTTACCAGCAATCAACAGTAGACCAACTTGCCCTTCTCCAGGGATTCTCCATCGTCAGAGTGAGCGCCTCATTGGAGGGGCTTAAGCATAAGGCTCAACTCAAGTTCCTCACTGGACTTCGTTAATTACTTTGGAAAGTTCAAATGAATAAATAATAGAAATAAAGGTGGTGTTGGGGAGGTAAGATTTCCACGATTTCCACTTGTAGGACATGTTCATGGATCAACAACCTTTGTACTGAAATAACAGTCTTAGTAATTAATCACTGCCCTCTGATATTAGGGCTAGGTAAGTCTTGGGGCTTGGGTTAGGGTAAGGAGCAACAATCTTACCAACCATTCATTGCACTACAGGGGTGTCCAATCTTGCTCCTGGAGGGCCATCTTCCTGCAGAGTTTAGCTTCAACCTGCTCCAACACCACTGCCTAAAAGCTTCTAGTGAGTTTAATAACCTTTATTAGCTGGTTCAGATGTATTTAATGAGGGTTGGAGATAAACTCTGCAGGAAGGCAGTCCTCCAGGAGCAGGACTGGACACCCCTAGATTAGGGCTTGTGGGCTGGGATTAGGGCTGTTTGGTTGATATGAATGTTGCTCCAGGACCAACAAAGAATGTTAATGCCCTATTTAGGTAAGTGTTGTGATGCAAAGTTGTAAAGAGTGCTGCAAGAATTGTCAACCATTTATAAATTCTTGCATTATGATTAACAGGATTAGGTGATTATGATTCACTTAAATGTTTGTTTGACAACTTGAAGATGCATGCTTGACTGCATGGAAAAATGTATTGTCTGTTTAATAATGTGGATGAACATTTATCCCAGATTAAAATGCTGTTTAATCCCGACTGTGTAACTGTAAATCACCAGAAAACAACCAAATTTGAAGAAGCTCAGTTTCATTGTAATGAGGCAAATGGCAGTTGCCTGAAAATTCTGAAAGGCCTGTAAGTAGACCAAAGATAGGAACTTTATTCACAAATAAACTCTTTCACCTCTTACAGATTCCCACTTATACACAGCTTGGCATTGTCCCCTTCTGATGTTCAATTCAAGCATCACATACACGCACACACACCAATGTCAGGCCCATTTCACAGTGCGTCCTCAGCCTCCTCTGTGTGTGGCCGGGGGGCAGCGATCACTCTATTGCTGTGTAAACACTGGGACACAAGCTCACACCCTCTATCTGATTAATAGACTAAGAATATTGAACATGACAGCTAAGCCAAGCCTGCAATATCCATCAGCATACAGTGCAAAAGCTCTGTTCGTTTCTCCTACTTCTCTATATTGCTTCATTGTTCTTCACAGAATCAAATTTAATTAGGGTGCTCAGGGTTTTTTTTTTTCTTCCAATATACAAACTCTTAGATGAGCTAATTTAAATATCCAGGATGATGTGTAAGAAATGACTTTGTTTTTATTTTTGCCTTTATTAGATAGTCGGAGAGTAACCTGGAAGAAAAGTGGGAGAGAGAATAGGGGACAGATCAGAAAGGACCACTAGCCAGGATACAAACTCTGGCCACACGAAACATAGCTGAACTGTGTGGCTCAAAGCTCCAACAGGACAGTTTTCAAAGTTATTTTTTAACCCTCCTATAGTGCTAAGACATCAAACCCAAATTTACTCAATTTATTTAATTCTTAGATAAAGTGTTTACTCAATTCATAAATGTACCATGGGTCAGAGACCCCTCTTACATATTTTTCCTGTCCTCAAAATGTACTTTTAAAATGTTTTCTTTTTTTAAACTAACAGTTACGCAGTTTGAGTAAAAAGAAATAATAAAGAACCTTTACATCCATTGTGTCCAGTCAATATAGAATCATTTTTGCTAAAACTTTATTTATAAATGAATTATGTATTACTTTATTTATTGACATATTTAATCAGATATATTTTTGGATCAAATATAACTTACAGGAATAGTTAAAATATTTAAAGTTACATAACAGGCCAAAGGTGAAAAGTCCCAAAAAGACCACAGTTGGAATAGTTTTTTTTTTTTTAAAGATATGCTTTTGTTTTTTAAGCAATATTCAGGTCTAAAGAACCATATTAAAGTAGTCCACATTCTGCTTCGTACAGTTTCTCTAGAACACAGCTTTGTTTTAGTTGACCATAAACGTATTAGCAACTCATGTTACAAAATCATGTGATTATGTATTTACAGCATGTTATCATGTTAATGTCAAAGACCGTGTGTTGTTACAAACAGTCTTTCTCGCTGTTTTGCTTGGTTGCTCAATTGGAATGACACTGCAATGTCTAAAGATCTCGAATTGTGTTTCACAATCATGGGGGCACAATATTTTCTTCAAACGACATCTTCCAAGATCAGTTGTGGAGTAAAAAGCTCAAATGTGTGAACTGAAAGCTATTCTGTAGCGAAATGAGACATCAGTTCTGTCTTTTTATCTCTGTCATGCTGAAAGACGATTGGGAAATTGGCTTAACAAACCAGTGGTGAATGGTAAACCCTTATTTACAGACAGGAGAAAGGGACAAATGAGCAATGCAAAAGAACACAGACACATAGTCACGCATGCATTGCAGTGTTCCACTTCACCTCTCTATAGCATGCAATATATGTAGGCCTGTGTGTGTGTGAGCATGACATGAAGACACCAGACTGGTCCATGTCAACAGGACCGAGGCCTTTCGACACACAAAAGCATGCAGACACGCTCACACAGACGCAAGCGCACACGCGTCCATTGCCTCTGCTCAGATCATGTGTCATCAACATTAATACTCTATTGTTTGAAGTGAAGGAGTTTGGCTTCAAACTTTATTTGTCATGTGACACCCCCCTTACACACACACACACACACACACATCCTCGAGTGCCCCACTTACCCTCCCTCCCGCTGGCGCCTACACGGTTTGTTAGGGGTTGCCATAGGCCATCATGTGATCAGACTGCCATTTACCAAACGCACACACACTCGCTCCCTTTGCAAATCAGGGTACAAACACACGTACACACATATCAGTCTCTCTTATTCATTTCATGTACATATTCGCTGGCACGATGCCTGCTGCTTTCATCAGGGTTGAATCAGAGAGCTAATACTAATCACAACAATAAACGGCATTATGCTGCACACATCAGAGACCTTTCTCTCTCTCTCGCTCTTGCGCTCTCTCTCTCTTTCTATCTGTTAGGCACAAGGCAAAGCAGTCACACCTCAAGGCATCCGATCTCAATGCACTTACTCAACTCGCTCAGATAACAAGTTGTCGCTGTTTCATTTTTTCCATGCTTCGTTTATGTTTGTTGCGGATTGAACAGGGACTGTTTAAGTTTTCTGATGTTTGTAGTTAGCAGCACGAATCAAGCATGCCTTAAAGCAATACTTTATCCAAAAATGAATTTACTCAACCTAATGTCAATCTAAACCCTCTCCCGCAGAACTACATTTTTGAAAAATCCCAAAATTGGCCATTCTTTTAAATTTAATTATATGTGAATGGGGAATAAGGCTGTCATAAAAGTGATCCATATGACTTGTTGTGCAATATAGCCTATTTGAAATAATCTGAACTCATATTGTAAGAAACAGATTAAAGCCCTTCATGTGTTCATGAGAGATGATTCAAAATTGAGCTGGCTCACTAAATTAGTGTGAATGAGTGAGTCGCTCATAATTCAGACTGATCCAGTTCTTAAGTTCAAATCAGAACACACTGCATTTGGGATTTTTAGTCCAACATAAATTCATGCTCCAGTCCTATTTGAAGTTTATTTGGTTTTTGGTCTAGAAGCTTAAGGATAAGCATTTATCTTACAAGCAACCAACATTATAATATTTTATATGATCTTTACATTAAAACTCATTAAAATCAAGTCACATCTAAGTCTAATCAGGTTTATAAGATCTTAAACATACTTTTAAGTTTGAGGTCAGTTTTTTTTTTTTTTTAAATCAACATTTGTATTTCAACAAGGAATAAAAATAAATGTATAAATTGATCAAAAGTGACAATTATAATGTACAAAATATTTATATTTCAAATAAATTATGTTCTTTTGAACTTTCTATTCATCAAAGAATCCTGAAAAATCAAATCAAATAAATTACAGTTTCAACAAAAATGTTAAGCAGCAAAACTGTTCTCAACATTGATAATAATGGGAAATGATAACTGAGCAGCAAATCAGCATATTAGAATAAAGTCTGAAGGGTCATGTGACACTGAAGACTAGAGTAATGATGCTGAAAATTCAGCTTTGGCATCACAGGAATAAATTACATTTTAAAACATATTCAAATAGAAAAATTGTTATTTTAAATTGTAATAATATTTCACTTTTTTAATAAAAAAAGTCGAGGGGGGAAGATATGAAACATCTAAAATCTTCTGAATGGTAGTGTACATTGCACCATTAGCCAACTAATCACC